CCTTTGGTATATCGGATATACCATGATCTGGATTAATAGGAACCTTCACAGACATACTTTTCCTTTGGTAATTATAACAGTATTATTATTTAAGTTGTACATTTGAAAATATTCTGTACAATGTCGTAATATTTCCAGCCATGTATGATTTATAAAACCTGTACTCTGGTTTGAGAGATGTAGCTACGTTCACCAGGATTTATTTTTATGACTTAGATGAAGATCAAGTCACTTTAGCCTTTCCTGCAGGTGCCCTAGATTTTCACATGGAATCTGAGGGGGCCACCATTGACCAGCTCGGAGGACTACAATCTCAATACAAATTAGTAAACTAAACGTGAGATTGTAGTCCATCACGGGAGCCAGCTTGGATCAGTGGCTACTTTACTACACAAGGGGAACAAAAGTAGCACCCTCCAGAAGGAAGGACAGTCTCACCATGAATTCAGAGATGATTTGAGGATCTACAGTTGAGTGATACACAAATATGGTACAGTAATGTTAATAGTTAAGGGGCTTGAATGCATTTTGTTTTAATTTAGTGTCACATCAATTTTTTATCTGTATTCCCTTTATTTTGCCTAAGTGGTCCTTAACTATATTTAGCTATACCATTGTCTTTCACATTCATCTGCAATTTAGGTTTTGCAAAAAGAAATGATTCTGCTGCAATCTACAAAAAAGAGGCTCCCAGAGCTCTGCCAACATCAGGCCGAACTGTGCCTTTCTTGTGGGTTCATTGAACCCTATAAGCGGCAGTCCTATTGAGAACCAGATGTATGCTTTGTACTGTGCATAGCAAAACAGGCAAGTGGACATGTGTGCATTATCACCGTTGTTCAAAATGTTCAATGAGACCTAGAAGCAAGAGTCTCGGGTAGCTTCTCAAATGCTGGTCTTCACAAACCAGCCAAATACATATAGTAAATTTTTTTATGCGTCTCGTATACAAAGTCAATCGATGGGGGAGCCCTCCGCACACCTTGCAGCAGTCCCGGCCAACAAGAAAGATGGTGCTCGTAGTGATAACCACGGATGGCGCTGTGCAAACACAGAACAAAGAAGCAGATCACCAGCACTCAGTAGTATAAATGAATATGTCCTTTTTTGTCCTTGTTTTGGTATACAAAGTCAACATATTGCTAGAGATGTCAGCGATGTATAAATCCAGGAAATATAGAAACTATGAGGCAATTTCTTATTAAATACTTGAAAATGTGGAAAAGCAGTATATTTATTATAGGTATGTCTAGCACATTCCTTTAGTTGAAATGCTGGAGAGCTTGTCAGCAGTACATCCAAGCATAACAAACAATTGGAAATACATGTATTACAGTATGGTTTTCTTCATACACAAAGTGCTGTTGCTTAGCTTTGCTCTATAATGTGTCCTGTCATTGTAACACCATTCTCTCTCCAGACGGTTATTATAATGAAATGAAAGGCATGCTTTCTTATTGATAAGAAACGTCTGTCAGTACCTAAGAAAAGTGGAAATTTTTTGAATTCAGTCAATAAAAATATTTTTTATTTACTTATACTCTTTATTCAATTGTATGTAATTTAACAGTCTTGGTTCTCACATATACACAGATTGCTTTATGTAATAACACTGCAGTGAGCAGTAATGCGCAGTATTCTACTGCAACCAAATGTATTCCAGAGTTACCTGTTTTGTTGAAATAATCAATTGAAGTTAATTTTGGATTTATCTGTCCAGTGCTCTCTATACTCTGTTATTACATATGATTTAGAAATATATAAAAGCATATTCATTTTTTTATATTAGACACTGCTCTACAGTGTTGACTAGATCATTTGAATTAGGCCATTTAGCCTTTTGTTAAAGCTCATTGACAACAGTTTATATACACAAACATACTTCTGCCATTACCTGTGTCCTAATCCACTCTACACAAGATCTCTGTTTCACAGGAGACTACAGAACATTTATCTAGATTCTGTATTTTTCACTGACCTAAGGTGATGTGCCTGAGTATGTTTAGTCCCTATAAAGGAAACGTGTCAATGCTATTGCTGACCTTCTTCTGAAAATGCTGGTTGGCTGATTGTCATGCTAACCATCTGGCTGCTCATGATGTCAGGACTCCCAATCTGCATAATTTTTCTGAGCCAATGCCTCAGTAAGCGTTGAAGCCAGAAGGCCATCATAAAACCCAAGCAACTGGCATTTTCAGAAGAATGGTAATATCAGCCCTTTATTTATCTTTAATTATTAGTTTCCTTAATGTAGATATTACATTTGTAGGATTCCAAGAATGGAAAAGCATAAGAAGACTTGCATGGTGTGCTCAATAAATGTTCTTCGTTAGCACCTTATAGAAATTTAGCAAATCACATAAAACAAAACAAAAAATATGATATGTGTTCTTCCCCATTCTACTCTTTGTATTTCCTTTTTTCGGAACTCCTCACACTTGACTCCTTTGCATATGATATGGTCACAGAGTACCATTTTAGTAAAAGTTTTTTTTCTGCCTTGTCTTCTATACTATAATGAGTAAGAAGGCTACTTCTATGGTGTAATGGAACATCTGCCCCTTAGCTGCCAGTCAAAGATGGGTTTTGAAAGGACAAAACAAAGTATGCCTTGGGAAGATAGGCACTGTAGTTGTTTTTTATTAAAATGTGTTTATTTTGAGTGTTAGATTGTGTTTATATTAAGTGTCATGTTCAAGGTCTATTCTACCTGTTGTAGATCTGTGCACCTTCATTCTGTTGAATAGTCTGGCGCTTATTATAGCGCTGATATCATTGTAGTCTATGGCTGCTTCTATTTTTCATAGGTTTGTTATTAGTTAGGCAAGATTTCATCTTCAGTTGCCATTCGTGTGTGTTTCATGCTCACATGTGTTACTATTTTGCTCGTGTCTTGCCTTTGTCTTTGATTACCTTAACTGATGTACGCAGCTGTAGTGTTCAGGTGTAGGGCAGTCTTGAAGAACAACACTGTGACAACATTTTAATCACAGAGTGGGATATTTTTTAGGTTGGGGTTTACATTTAAGTATATTGTACTATGTGATTCAATCAAGTATATTTTGATACTTGTTTCTTTTACCATTTCCAGTTCTTTGTTTTTCACATGGCAGGGTAAATAGTTGTTTCGCACCTAATGACATCACTGAAAGCTATAGCAAACTTCAATATAAAGTACCAATATACCTTTATACTAAACAACTCAAAGACAGGTCTCAGATGCAGCACAGATGTGCTTTACCCTGCCCAGCTCCCCTCTGCTCCAGGCAGTGTTTATGTTTGATTTTCTCTCGGGGACTACGGTGGATCTTTAAAGTGACACTAAACGCAGAAGTTAAATCTTAAAAATACATTTCAGTACTCTAACTATTAAGAAAAAATGTATCTTACTTGTGTATCACTCGGCTGTAGATCCTCAAATCATCTCTGAATTGGTGCTGACACTGTCCTTCCTTCTGGAGGGTGGCTACTTTTATTACCCATGGTCCCTGTGTGTGTTGTGAAGTATTCATCGCTCCAAGCTCCCTCCTGTGATGGACTACAATCTCAAATTGTACAATACAATACAAATAATTAAACTAAACAAGAGATTGCAGTCCATCACAGGAGTGAGCTTGGAGCGGTGGCTACTTTACAATACACACAGGGACCATGGGGAATAAAAGTAGCCACCCTCTAGAAAGTAGGACAGTGTCAGCAGCAATTCAGAGATAAGTGATACACAAAAAAGATGCATTTTTGTTAATAATTAAGGTACTTGAATGCATTTTTAAGATTCAACTCCTGAGTTTAGTGTCACTTTAAGCTCTATAGAGAAGAATAGGAGAGCTCATCTTTGTACTGCGTCGTTCAGATATAAACATTGCCTGGCACAACGAGATCTGGACGCTGTATAGGAGCTCTGTCTTTGGTAATAATAGAAAGAGTAGGGTGGAGGAACCTGTCCAGGGTTTTTAGTAAAATGGTACTTTAATAAAGTGTTTTTCACATGTTGTTTTCCTAACAGATATGTTTGGTTTGTAACCATGAGGACAGAGATTCCAGTCTTGATTAGATTAGTAACTCTCGTTAGGGGTTTGTACAAAATTGTAGCAATGGAGACACAGTAAACACTTGTATTTTCGTAGCCTTTTTTTAAAAATTTGTTTTCTTATTCTGAATATGAATAGAGGAATGATAAATGAGTATTTGCCACAGCCATTCAGATTGTATAGTTAGATAGGTTGTGAATGCAGCGCATCAGCTGCTTACATGCAGAAATTTTTTTGGGGGACGTGTAGATGTGTTTTCATATGTGTGTATATATGTGCAGTGACACATCAAACTCACAAAAAAACCACATACAAGATAAGTCTTCTTTTAAGCAAACATTGACAATTTATACACAAAGTGAACCATCACACAGGAACGTGTACGCTTGTGCTGCAAATATGGCAATAGAGTATGCATGAGTAGCTATATACATTGCTGATTTTTCATATGGGGTAACTTAACTTTTTCCCTATATATTAGGCATTTTGCATCTGCTACGCTGCAATTGCACATCCTCCCACAAGTCTCCGGTCATTAATAATATACTTTAATCTTTTCCCATTTATAGTATAAATGGGTGAAAATAGAATTCATCACATATTTATTGGTTGTGAAGATAAGAAAAAGCTTTGATTAATTTTTACTGATGCAAGCACCTACAGATATACTCCTCACAGAGTCTTTTACTTACTGCACTGCTTCATTTTTTTCAAAACGAATAGGTAATCACAGTTTACTATCAGTTAACTTTATAACCGGAAAAGCCTAGGAGGCAGAGCTATGCCATTGCTATGTTATATTCTGTTATGGTTATGTTATTTCATATCATATCCTTTTCCATGCCATTCTGTTTGCAGATATGATATTTCATACTATAATAGATCTGATATTTAAGGAATATGCAGTGTCCTCCCTTTGGTTTAGCATTGTTTTTGTTTTTAATATTAGCATAATTTGCAGTACATTTGTCTGCTGATCCTTTGTATTTCTGGTGTACATTGGAATGACAAAGGGTTCCTTTTCTCAAACTTATTATAAGTGGTCAGGGTTTCAGAGAATACTGATTCTTGGCCTAAAATATACAAACTTCCCTCTTTTTACGATTAATACATGCAGAAAAGCTGGAGATATGTGCTAAGCAAACACCATAATGTGCATGAAGCCTGGAGGAGAGTATATAGACAGATAGCTGTTTTTTCAGTGGTGTAGCTTCACACAAAAGTTGCTTGAACTTTTACTTTCCAGATTATCTTTGAAGAAAAGGCCAACCTTTGCTTGGCTTCTTTGGCTTCTTAATTTTTCTGAATAAATAATTTCCACAGGATTTCTTTACAAGTGGTTGAGTGTCCACAGTTGATTTTTACATTCGCAGAGTGAAAAGCTCAGCTTTGATGTTCTTGCATCAAAGATAACATATTACACTTCACAGATCCTTTTTTGATATTGGTCTTCCAGAAGCATTATCCAGGTTCAATGCCAGTATCGTCCTGTCAATTAACTACTGTAGAATCCTCTAGCTGTAAGAGAAGTTGACAAGCTGGAGCCATCAAAGGGAGCAGCTGACCATTTATTAGTCCTTTTGATGGCGACTCTTGGAACACCTGTTAAGAAAAAGAATATACATAGTCAGTTTACCTAAAAATGTAATTTAGGATATATACCATGATATTATTTTCTGCATTAAAGTGTTCCTGTACCCAACAGTTAACCAAAATGAAAGCTGACCTATCACTAAAACTTACACCTGAATTAGGACAAATGCCAGTTTGCAAGATCATTATTTTGTGTGCCTGTTTTGAGATGGATGCTTTCCACTTGGGTTAGGGACTACTGTAGTAATACCCTTTTGCCATAGTTCCAATAACCCCAACACCACAAATGTGTTAAGCTGCAGAGGAACCCAACTAGAGAATTCAGTGTTGGGAGTATTAGAACTTGTCAATTACAAAGTGGGCTGGACATAATTTTCTGCAGTAGACTGTAGGACATCTACACCCAGTCACTAAAATCTGATATAAGCTTTAAGATGTTATTTCTAAAATAATTTTCAATCTCTTTAAATATACAACTTTCATTACAATAATATCTGGAATTTCTGTGAAGGTCTTAATTCAACTGCTTCCTGATTGCGGGTGATAACTGTCTCCCAACTGTGTTCCTGCATTGTCACCTTGTCACACGTGCTTCCAATGGAGACTACAAGTGGCCATGCTGACTTACAGTACATTGCACAAACATGGTTCACTGTTGTCACTATCAGGAAGGAAGTCCAGAGCAAAGATGTGTAGTCAATGTTGAAGTGCATGCATGTAGACAAAAAGTGGTTAAAAGGACTGGAAGAGATCAGCATCACTGAGTTGCAAAAAAAGAGTATAAAAAAAAAGGTCAAAAAGGTATTTTATGTAAACCTGCCATGACATTTTTTTTATTGTATGCAATGCTTTAACAAACTAAATGTTGTCCAGTAGGATTTGTTATCTACATTACCAGGTCCAAGGATCAAACATTAGCTTAATTTGCGGAACAGACAGGTTATCAATATCACTACAACTCCCATAAGCATGTATAGGCCATTATATTTTTCTCATGTTAGCTTTGGGAATTCGTAATTTCTATGGTCCCCAAGTGAATTAAAAATAGTTATTTATTGTACGACGACAGGAGAGGAAGAAAAAAGATGTAACTAGAGGAAGGGTCCAAGGGGGGAATGGGGTAACAGACTCAAGTCCCAGTTTTTACAATCATGTCTTCCAGTAATAAAATCAGTTGCAAGCTCAACTCACTCCAAGCTCCCTCTGGTGATGGACTACAATCTCACGTTTAGTTTACTCATTTGTATTGAGATTGTAGTCTATCACAGGAGCGAGCTTGGAGCGGTGGCTATTTTAGAGCACACACAGGGACCATGGGGAACAAAAGTAGCCACCCTCTAGGAGGAAGAACAGTGTCAGCACCAATTCAGAGATGATTTGAGAATCTACAGCCGAGTGATACACAAATAGGCTATATTTTTGTCAATAATTAAGGTACTTGAATGCATTTTTAAGATTTAACTACTGAATTCAGTGTCACTTTAAGTGCACGCACATTGTGCAGGCACCCTATAAGTACTGCACCACAGTATAGTATTGCAAGGCAGAATCAGCAGGATATATCCAACCCCTTCGATCAGTTATTTGCGCAAAATTAGTTACCAGAGTTATGTGTTCAAAATAATTTGTTGCTCCTATCCTTTTTTAATCACTGTACAAAAGGGTCACAATTTTGAGTTGTCTAACTTTAGTTTCTGTGTGTAGGAACCATAGAAATTTAGATATTTACCTAAATGAATGATGGTCTTTTTTTCAACTCTGCTGACCAAAAAACTAGGCGTTAAAACTCATCTCTAAACACATGTGGGTGGAAGGCAAGGCTTGTAAACACAGAAGATTCATCAAAAAGAAATGTCTGTTTATTGCAACGTTCCCAAAGCAATACCAGTGACCCTTTCAACATTTTGGCAAGCTTTTAGCCCATTGTAATAGTGCTTGGAAACATGTGCTCTGCAAATACTCACTTGCCAGTAATAAGAAGAATTTAACAAGAGGAGTCAGATAAATTGTGCCCCATCAAAAAGGAGGGGAACATTGTACACAGAGAAAGCTGTGTCCTTCACCAACAATCACATGTACATTCCTAATGCATGTCTGTGACTGCTCAGTCTGGCAAATTTACTAGTATGACATCATATGGCATGTAAAACCATAGAAATAAACTATCAAGATTTATTATGGCATTAGGTTGGAAAATTGAAGAATTAGGATTAAAATTATATTTATTTTCCACTATAATGTATGCTTATACACTTACTAAAATACCTTTGGACTAAACGTGATTGCTTAAATATAGTAGATATTCCCTTTCTGAGGTGTGCAACAAGCAATTATATATACATAGATTCATCTTCACAAAATGGCAGTCAGCCTTTATCCTGGGGTCCTTTAAGAGGTCATCGTCTGATTTTCTTTACCTTAAACTCAACTTTTGGTGCAGGAATTAGTGCTTGCACCTCCTGTTTTAATCTGTTACTAAAATGTTGTGACCTGGTATGAAGGCAGTGCACCTGTACTTTCTTTTTGTACGCACATCACACTGGCTCAAACAGATGAGGTTGACCCTAAACATACTGTTGCTGTCTGAGGGTAGAATGTAACTGTAGCTGCACTGGGGTCAGGCTCATTGCCTGGAGCAGCATACTTTAAAGCTGGGATCTGCTGACACTCAGAGCTCTAAGTGTTCAAAGTGTTAAATGGTGTTTGGAGAGGTGAGTCAGCAAGGGCTAAAAGCCCTGCCTGGCTGTATTGTTGAGCATGCCTCTGTGTAAGGAGACAAGATGGCAGAGTCATGAGAAGAGTACTCTCTGCAGCTCCGTGTTTTGATAAATGTCTAGAGTCACTAGCCAGAAGGCTTTTGAGAATAAATCAGAAATGTCCACTTTTAAGAGCTACTAAAAAAGGAAGGTGGAACTCTTTTGTGGATGCTTTTTTACCCCTTTCTAGGGAATTATTGGATAGCGCTGAATACTGAAAAATGGCCTGGATGGGAAGGGGGTTTAACACCGCGGATGTCAACTGGTTAAAGTCCAGCTGTGGGCACCTTACCAGCTTTAAAGTAGCAGATCATTCCTTTGCCTCAAAAGCAAATCCCAATCATGCAGGCTTTCTTCTATGTCCTGCAAATCTGCTTGTTTATGCAGGGATAAGTATTTCTGGGCCACTCTGGATGTAAGCGCAGCAAGTTTCATAGACCCCTGTGCTGTGGTCATGCCTGCACCCCCACTCCTCCTGGCTATTCACAAAACAAAGCCTGGGGCTTTGGGAACTGTACTAATCCCCACATTTAAACAAGCTGATTTGCAGGCCATAGAGAACAACCTGCAAGAGTGGGTATGCTTTTGAGGCAAAGGAATGTTTTAATGCTTTACACCTGGTACGGTTATTGTGCCCAGAGTTGGGCTTTAACTTTTGGAGCCAAAAAATTAAAGTGGATGGGAAAAACCCTTAAAAACTGACATTTGATTTGAATGGAGAGATACTTTTGTCCTGGTAGAAAGAGTATTTTAAAATGTGTATATTGAATCTCTCACATATATGCAAGTGATTAGGGAGTGTTCAAGTGATATTTTGTAGTTATCATGATTGTGCAGATGTGTACTAATTCTGACACAGATGTGTAGCTCAACATATTGCAGTACAAATGCTCCTATTTTCTGTTCCATGTTTTTTTTTCAACAAAAGTGGTGATGCAGAGGTTATAAATATGGTATGACAATTTTGACATTTTTTTCAAAACGTGCCAAGTAAACAAAGTTGAAGGTATAATCACATGCTTTGCTTGTTCTGTAGTATACATTTATTATAATGTGTTCTCTTCAATCAAGTGCGCCTGTTTTATAGAAAGTTAGGCATTGTCAGCTTCTATTCAGCCTGTGAATGGTAAATATGTGGTTTGTTTAAACAACATATTTTTGAGTTGACCCTAGCTGGGGTTTTGTCGGCCCAGATCACAGGTGATACCTTGCAATCTCCAATACTTGGCTTCAGGTTTGTGACTCAGCAACTCAGGCTGGAGCTTCTCTACCTTCAGACTGACAGTTGCCAACTAAGGTGGTTTGGGCATCCTAAACAGGTTCCTCAGGATCTCTTCTAAATTTATGCAAGTATATCTATGTTATTTGAGGGCATGCTGGTGGGATTATAGCTTTCAAATTACTTCTTCAGGAAGATCTTGACTTACCATTTTCTCGCCAACATCTACTGTATTAATGGAAACCTGCACTGAGCCAGACATCTTGGCTGCCATTACTGACTTTTGAAAATTCTAGTTGCCTGTCAAAGTCAATAACCCAGAAGAAGCCTGCTGCAACAAAAGTCGGATATAAATTAGAACTCCTGATCTGTGTACTCTTTGCAGTTCAGAGACTGAGAAGGTCCGAACACACCAGGTCAGCCAGGTAACTAGAATTTTCAGAAGGATAGGTAAGTAATGGCAACCACCATACTTCCTAAGTGCAAGTTTACTTTATGGCCTGAAAATAATTATATAATCATTTTAGATACAAATGTTTGGTGGAGTTCTTGAACTTAGTTGAAGGATTTGAGGTGTTCAGCTACCAAGAAATACAAATCCTTAATATTGCTTACAGTCAAAGTCTTAGCCAAGAATATACAGCAAACTCTCCATTATCCAGCATTCAAGCAACCAGCACTGTCAAGCAATATGTCCTCAATTTTATTTTGCCAGTTGGCTTAATGCACATTAAAACATTGCCAGTTGCTTGGTGCACGCTAAAAAATGCAAGGGGGGAGTGGAATGATACAGAGATTTTAATTTTAATAATTTTTAGCGTTAAAATTAACTTCTGGTAATGACAAGACGTGTTATCTAGCATATACACAACAAAGCAGACTTTCCATTCTTTTCTTTACGTGTATGACTTTATGGTTCAGAACTTCTACATACAAGCCCCTACCCCCCAAGGCAAAGGAAATTGAAACTTTTTTTGGGGGAACCATTGCTACCAGTAGTCCAATGTAGTATTTTGTTTCTAAAAATCAACAGA